GTAAGCCAACCCGTTATCCTAATAGTACATTGCATTTTGACGTATAATTTACCTAAAGCCAAAAAAACTGATGTACTAAAAATGGCAGCGGCTCGCAAAACTGACGTGGTCCCAATTCCTGTTCGTGGTAACCTCGGGTAGGTTAGGTTCAGGCAATTTAGTACAACAGTTTAATGACGTTGGGAACGCTCGGGAGAACAGGCTGGGTAGGCAGCTGGTGTGGGACTACATGTACGTATACCACCCTGACTTTCTTTAGTTATATAACGTGTGAATCTATTGAATCGACAGGACGTCTGGCGGTCTCTATTGAGGCTAGTCCAGGTTTTACCTACAACCCCTAAGCATAACACTTCAAATTTGGACGTTAAATCTAAATCAATCAAGTTTAGAGAATACGGCCACAGCTTCTATCTTGCAGCTCAAGAACAACACAGTAATTAGTCTGTGTTCTCTAACTTGCATTTCCCGCCGCAGGTGAACATCTGCGCCGCTATGTTGTTCTTTTCACCTTGGTTTTCACCCCTTGTTGCACAGACCAAGCTCGGTGCAACAGTCAGCTCAGAATGCATTTTTCTCTAGCGAGATGAAAAAGGTGTTAATTCGAGCGTTGTGATTTATGGCGGTAGTGTTGACGGGAGGGGAGAGTTGGGGGGAAGGAGGGGAGAGTAGGAGGGAGGGGGCGGCGCCCACCATGGTAATGGTCCCATCATTCATGGTGGGGGGATGAGTCCTGAACCCCTGTTCACCATTATTCACTCCGAGAGGGGAAGGGGAAAAGGGAGATAGTAGGTAAGAAGAGCGAAGAAATTTTATGGGGGGGGGGGAGAAATAAGAAATGAAGGGATAAAAAAGATGGAAAGGTGAAAGGGGGATAGAAGGCAATAAGGAAGATGATGGGATGGGAGGGGAAAGTGGATCTTGGGAGAGGAAGGGGAGTAATTAAAAAAGGATGGAATGGAAGTAGAAGAGAAACATGGGAGAGGTGGAAGGGAAAATAGAGTGGTTGGAGAAGACAGGGAGTGAAAGTTTCTAGTTTTAGAAACTTTTGCGCTATTGAAAAAATATCAAAATGGAAACCACATACTGTATGAAACGCAGTCAAAAGACACTATAGAAAGAAAAAAAACAATGTGACAAATTTGGGATTAATTATGTGAGAAGACTTTAGTAAAGAAGACAATATAGTATCTGCAAGAAAAATGCCAGGTTGGATAACTAGAACCTTCCAAACAAGAGATGCCAGACAGATACTTATACTCTTTATATCACTAGTACTCTCTAGGGTGGAATACTGTTGCACACTAACAGCTCCGTAAGGGGCATAACTGGCCGACCTCTCACGGTGTTGAAGAGAGAACTGACCAAAAAGGTTTTGATTCATATATCATAATGCGAGCAGTTCCGCTGAACATTTTGTTTGACCAGACCACCAACCAGGAAGCCTGATCAGAGACCTGGCCGCAGGTACGTTGATCTTCGAAATCAGAAGATAAGGTACCCATCCAGGTGTCTAATGAAACACCATCCAGGTGTCTGCTGGAACACCATTCAGGTGTCTGCTGGAACACCATCCAGGTGTCTGCTGGAACACCATTCAGGTGTCTGCTGGAACACCATCCAGCTGTCTGCTGGAACCCGAGAGTGTCGCAGGCACGGCTAACTGTTACTTCACCCTAATGTACTAAAACATTAACTCTTCCAAAACTAAATAAAAATAAAATTATAATTATTAATTAAAATTACCACAAAATGGTCATAACATCTCTAGCAAACACTTTAAAATAACAGGAAACTAGAATAAAAACCATAAAAATTTAAGAATTATATCACCATAAAAATATAATAATTATAAAACCATATTTACCAGCCATTTTATAATGAAAATCTTCCTGGGAGTTACGAGGAGCGATAAGTTTTGTAGGGGCAGGAGAACATACAGAAGATTAGACGTTATCAGGCAGTAAATATCACGAGACACAGAAATACACGCTCTCCTCCTTTCCCCTCCCAGCCAAACCCAGCCGGCGAGGCTGGCTGGGTTATCACGCAGGCGACGACAGCGTCACAGACTGCATCTGTGTCTGTCTCTAGCCATCTCATACCTCAAGTGAAGAGACAGGGGACACAACCATACTCTAGAGATCTCATACCACGAGTGACAGGAAACTATCACCCTACTCCGGGACCTCACACGATGAGTGAGGAGACTGGAGATAAATAGGAGACGACGACCTTACTCTAGAGATTTCACACCATGGGCGAAGAGACAAGACGACACATTCAAACTCCTTACTGTCAACCTTCTACTCCACCATTTATTTCAAGTTTTATGTCTCCACCTACGTCTTAGTCTCCTCCTCCTCCCTAGTTTCTTTGATTTCTATCTTCTCCACCACTTCAATCGCCGACTTCTCAAATTTCTCCCTCGTCTCCTCCAGTACAAAACAACGGCATGACAATGTTTCTGCCCAGTAATAGAGACTGACAATCCGAAGTA